TCATTCGATTTCATCCTGGACACTACAGAAAATGGGCTTAAAGTGTTAAAAAGTGAACTTCTCCATTAAATACTATCAGACATGTGCAGAACTTTGACATGCTGAGGAGGTAGTAACTACCTCCTTGGAGAAAAAGTAAAACATGCCAGATACCAGCCCTTGAGGAGTGAATTTACCACTGATTTAGAGATTTGCGTGACATTATACAAATGTGAAAAATTTTGTAAAATAATTCTGAAAATTATATAGCAATTTACTGATAATATAAACTTATTTTACCATGGGTATAAGTACTTTTCCTTAAGTAATATAGTTCAGTACTTGCCCACCACTGCTTATAACTTACAGTATCAAAGAGCATTGAAGCAAGCATTAGAGATATTGCTTTCTTTTTATATATATAATTTGAGCCTCAATGTATAAATTTCATCATAAGGAAATTGGAGAAAATGTCTAAAAGTAAAAGATGTTCTCTAAATTTTTTTTCTACAAATAAAAAAAAAAAATCATTACCTGATATTATTAGTCCATTTAGAAAATAAATGGTTACAATGAGAATGATTAAAAGACTGTAATTGTTTAATTTCCCTGCAGCTTTTTCTAACTTGTAACAAAAAAGGAAATGTGAAGCAAAAGATTAATCTGTGCATGTTAAATTATATAAAGCTCTTGTTTGTCTTTCTGGTCTCTCAAAGCTCGTTTACCCTCTTGCATGTGCTAACATCCTTCATGTTCACGGGGTTAGATTATTTGCCTATTGGTACATTTACCTTTTACAGATGGTGAAATTGAACTCTAGATCTTCCAATTAGAACTCCATGATTCAATATTAAAAGTAAAAAAGGAATATTACAAAGTTTTAAAGAGTCAACCAATGCAGTGCTAAAGGTACAGTGTGTAATAATTAAAGGGATTTACTGACGTGAATGTGATTATAGATATTATCTATAAATATGTTATTCATTATCACCTATGAACTGAAAGTCTCAATCTTTATGTTTGCCTTGTCTTAGGAATTGCTATTTATAAATAGGTGTCAGAGTAAGAGCTGAAAAACTAGTGACTCTAGAGATAGCATTAGAAGAAGAAGAAGAATTCAACTTTATGACATTACATTGTCACAAGTACAAAGCAACAAAGGTGTGTTGTGGGTGTTAAGGGTCTTGCTCAGTGACCCAGAGTGGCAGTCTGTGGAAGTGGGAATTAACTCAGAACCTTTGGAATTCAAGCTCAATGCCCTAACCACTAGGCCAGCACACCCCAAACTAGGCCACCACCCCCCCATTACACCTGAATTATGAAAGTTAAGCCTATATACGATCCTACACCGACTAATAAAATTCTATTTGTAAAATTACCTATATAAACTAGACTCTATAACTGGGAAATGTGAAGTTGATCCTCCATGCAGTTAGTGCCTAAGGTACCATATGGTATTGCAAAACTATTCCACAAAGGAAAGTATCTGAAATGAGACACAGTAACACCTTATCAAGATCTGGCAGCAAAGATACATGTAGGTGCTATTTTTTCTCTAGTGCACAAGTCTCAATAGATGACATTCATCTATTTATCAATATGTTGTTAGAAAATAAATGTTGAGGTTGTGTTTTTGAAAATGTTTAATTTGGCCTTTATTAACATTTCTTTCATGTTCAATGTCAATGTCAACTATCTTTTAATGTTCACAGTATTGGTATGATGTCAAATGGACAAAGAGTTATGCACTATAGAGCTCCATTGTAGGTCCACTGTGAAGTAGAGGTTTGGTCAAACAGACCTCCTCTGACCTTGGGCATGAGCCCTGTTCACAATATCCTGGTACATTTTTGACCGCAGAAATCGTGGGTATGAGTCTTTTTCCATTAGGCAGTAGATTTTACCCTGGACTTCATTTAGACTGGCTGGAGAGGGATCTGACAGGATCTGTTTGGTCTTCTCTCTTGTTCTGTAGTCAATATTTACCTGATGAGAGAGTATGAGATAGAAAGATAAGTTACTTTTGTAGTTTGGCAATAAGCATGGAGTATAATACAACTTTTACATTAGAGGTAATACTTAAATAAAACAACTAGCTCTGACAGTTTTTCTTCTTTTTTTGGTATGACCAGAAAAACAAAAAACAATGTTGTTTGCTCATTGATTTGTTTCTCTCCAATGAAAAAGAACCTTTAGCCTATCACAAACATGGGAACTAGAGTAATAGTGAAGTACTGTTAGATATGGCAGCACTATATCATAAGGCCAGGACCAAAAACCAAACCATTGTGCAGAATCGGCTAAGGAAGGTGGACCGTCATGCTGCTTAAATACTTTGGTGCTCCTATTAGAGATTGCCCTGGTGCAAGCTCAAAGAATACACAGACGCCTTGATAGGTGTCAAAACCTCTTCTGAAAAACAAAAACAAAAAGCTGAGCGAAAGTCCAGTTGCCTTGCGAGTTATGCCTGTTTTGTGATGCCCAGCATATTGAAAAGGTATGTAGTTAATTGTAAAGACAAGGCCACATTCACCTCTTTAGATTAAACACTACAACAAAGGAAGTAAAAGAAGTGAGCAGGTAGGTGTTAAATTTGTTTTTTTGTCAAACACAATTGTGCTAAGTTAGCTCTCTGGTTTAAGAGTGGCTCAGACAACATAAAGCAGCACTGGGGGTCACATGATTCAATAAGAGATTGAGTCTCAAGTTACATGGGACAATTATTGAGAAGGGCATCAAGCACAGAGCATCCCTATGGGCCAACTGTATATTTATTTAAAAATTAACTTAATATATCTAAAAGTAAGATAATACTTAAAAGTTGCATATTTTTGCTTTGAGTACTGTGAAAAAAAATTGGATAACACATTACAGTAGCAGCCATTCAAAATGGCCCATCCCAGTCAAATGCCAGCCGAATGGCTGGACCAATACCCTGAGACTCCAAGCAAAATCCCCTCAAACCTCCAACCACTGGCCGTGCATATTTCTTTTACATTTGAATTGAGAAAGCTTCCTGGAGAGGTGGCGAAACATCTTCAAATCTTGGAAACCAAGTCCAGCAGATTTTTTTTTTTTGAACTTTTACAGAATATTTATTTTACTCTGACTCCACCCTTTTAAAAAAGGAACAGCCTTTTTAAAAAGGGAGCGAGCAAGGACCAGCCAAGGGCCCATCAAGGAAATTGGGGAAATTTTGAATGGCTACTGCTGTATTTGAGGGTGACTAAATAAGATTCGGTATAAGACAAGATTAGAAAAAGAGATATTGTCACATCCCAATAAAGTGTTTACATAAAGTTCTGCTGTGGGTTAATCATCAGCGATCAATAGATTAATTGTGCAATGAAAAACTTAAAATTCTCATGTGTTGAAATAAAAAAAAAAATTAATAACTTTTTTTTTTTTTAATCACGAAAGCCAAACATTAATGTCAAGTCCTTTAGGGGACTTAAAACAGTGTTAGTAAATGGACAATCCCAAAATAGAGTTGACTTTTTGCCTGGCCTAAGTAAGGCAATCTTTCACAACACGCTGTAATATTCTGATACATAGCAATGCAGACAAACCCACCTCTCTTGGTGATTGAACCTCAATGAATTCTTTGAATATCTTGTTTGCTTTTGACACAAGTTTGGTTGAGCTCTTGATTTTTTTGTACTCCTCACAGGCCATCCAAAATTCAATGTTCTCATCACTGAATTCAGACTTGAGAAACGTCCGAAATGCAGCCAGCCCATCTGTGCATAACAAATAATACAAACAGTAAAAAACAATAGAGACTTGATTCACTGAGTAAGAGATTACTTTTTTGTGTAATGTTTTGTATTCACAAAACAGTGTTGCTATTAAATTTCTTACTATACAAAGCATTTTCATGAAGAGATTGGCAAGGTTTTAATTGTATAATGACAAAACATTACAAAAGGCACCCACAGATATGGTTTGTTTTTGACTTATTAAGTGGTCAGATATTAAGTTCAAAAGTGCTGCTATATCAGGGGAGAATGTTATTTTACTAGTTCTGTATCACGTTGACCTTTCTATCTATTTCATTTCTCTAATTTGCCTTACAATGATATTTTTACAAAAAGACAAATAGTCTAGGGGAGAAGACAAGAAAAGCACATTTAGGTCTACAGTTAAGAGATACTTGTAAATGTGTTAACTCAATTACTATGCCTCCACTAAGGTTAAGCTGACCCAGCATAACTTGAAAGGGCTATATGCTTAGATTAAACATAAGGGTCACTTATTGAATCAGAACTTACAAGGCACAAAGACTTTTACCTTTTACAGCTGATAATTTTCTTTCCTAAATGTCATAACTATAGTGATCCAAATGTACTTGTTAACGTTGAATGCACAGTGTGTATCTATTTACACAGAGAAGCTCTTAAGGTGTTCACGTTGTCATTTGCGACATAATGCTCTTGACTACTTTTATACTTTTTATTAAGATCATGATTATGTTTTAGAATTTTAGTCAATGCAGTGATTAAAAAGTAATTAAAGGTTATTTTACAGCTGAAGGCAACTGAGAGGCATGAGATGAAGAAATAGTCAAATTGAAATAAGGACACAGATAAAGCTGAATTAAGATAGGAATTACACCTCAATGATTGAAAATAAAATCTGACTAAGTCTCTGCAGAGACCCAATCTAGCTACAAATAACTGTTTTGGGATTGATTTGGGATTTTTGATTTGGTTGTTATGGTTTCTTTTAGGCTCCACTAGGTTGCTTCCTGAGACCACTGTTGGGCTGGCTTCTCCTCTTGCACCCATGCAATTTCACACAGGCATATCTCAACCAGTAATCAGCTAGGGCACATAAGAGGAGCGGTACAGAAGTCACTCTCCACATGCGTTAGAACCGCCGCAAGCCAAACTCTTGGCCATTGGTTCTCATGTTTGCCTGCATCTCTGTGTTCCTAAGTCTCTTTTGAGTGTACAATCCCACAAGGTACGTCAAGAACAGGATCACTTCGTTCGTTATGAAACTCTAAGCCACGGCCACCATTTAATCATTGTTTCTTCGTTACTGACTTACTGTCCTCTAGATTCTACCGCAGAACTGGACGACCCATTGAAGCCTTCTGGTTATGTCCTGGAATTCTTATACACAACTGGTAACCTCTCCTCTAAATTTCCTCCTCACTGTTGTATATGCCTGAGCTGCCGGCTCTCACAATCTGCCTCTGTGTGCCTTTTAGTTACCACAGATTTCTTTATTGTCTTTTGCCTCTTGTCTCAGACCTCGATCTGCTCAAACCATCTCCGCCATACAACAACCCACAGCCCATAATGAGGTATCCACTCACCTCTCCCAAGCTTCTTCTAGACATACACTACAGTAAGAGTAAATCAAACCTCCTTCAAGTCCTTTATATCTACAGCACTTGCACTTTCAGAGCTCCCAGTTAACCCCTTTACTGCTTCTTTGTGGGATCACCTTGTTTATTTATTTTTTACCTGTTCAATAAATATGACTTTCTCTGAAACTGTATTCTCCTGAGATTCATTTTTGAAATTAAGTCAAAATACTACAAAAAAGACATGACAGGGTACTCAGTCCACACTATTCTACAGGAGGTTCTCATAAGAACCTAAGCTGAACAAGCAACCATTTTCAGCAATAAAACTTTAACCATCTCTCCTCCACCTTACAAAACATTATAGTGATTTCATCTGATTTCACCACCCAACACATAGAGATAGTGGCAGTCCCATCTCCTGTTCCGCCATTTCTTTCAGTTCTGCCAACCTGTTCTTGTACTACTGCTCCCCTTAGGTACATTGGTGAGGTAGGAGAAGGTTGATGGTAAATGGCCTGTGCTTATATAAGGCTTTTTCAAATCAGGAGCTTTGACCAAAGCACTTTACTCTACAGTATATTCGGTCATTCACCCATTCATGCACACACTGATGATGGCAAACTATATTGCTGCCACAGCTGCCCTGCCCTGACAGCAGCGAGGCTGCCATACACTGGGACCACTGGGCCCTCTGACCATCAGTAAACAATGCGGGTGAATTGTCTTGCCCAAGGACACAATTACACTAAAACCTGGAGCCGGGGCTTGGACCATCAACGCTTCTATTTCGGGGCAAACTCCTACATCCAACGCCACCATTGCCCCAGTTGGGGGCTCAGCTTCTCCATATGGTTTTCCCAACGATGAGACAAGATCTCCTGCTGTATATATTGGGTTTGTTTTCTGGCAGAGCTTTAAAATGGGCAAGGTGTAACTTTCAAAACTATCCCAGGTTTAGAGTTTTAGCTGACTTTTCACCAAAATTTTTATCCATTTTCTTATCTAGAAATGTCTACAAACTAAGAAAGGGCAGAAAACAGCAGATTATTTTGCTATTGATTTCCATAGTGGCTGCTTTGAGATGGGAATCCAGCATTTTCAAAAGTATTTTCTTTCCCTGCCTTAATGATTCCATAAAAAAATGCGCTGGCAGTCTTTGATGAACCATCAACTTCGGATAACCAGATTACTAAGCTATGACAGACCCCGATACCCGTCTTTCCCCTGAGGAATGACAGAGGAGGATGTTTACCTATTAAATCCCTGCCTGTCTCTTATGAAATAAGAAAAAAGGTCCCAAAGAAGGCCTGTCTGTGAGATCAGGGGCTGGATCTCGCAACGCCATCCCCCATAGACTTTGCATGTAAAGCAGAGGCTTTAATGCCCAAAATTTGTTCGGTCAGAATGCTCCAAACGGCTGATCAATAGTAATTCTAACATTTGATTGGTCGCTTTTCACTGGAAAAGTTGTAAATAATTTTCTAACGAATGAGGAGAGAACATTGATTGAGAAACTCCAGCCTCTATGCACATAGTTTGGTCTCTCAAGAGTTAATAATTGAGTGTTAGCCATCTCTGGTGGCTCCCACCACCATAACAACACCAACACCACAACACCTCAACAAGATCTCTCCCATAATATATATATGAAATACATTTTATATAACTTCTGGCTTTTATAAATTAAGGACACATTTAAGTAATTATTCAATAAATTAACTAAATAATTGCATTAAGGCACTCATCACCATCTATACTATAACAGTTTTTTTTTTATAATTATTATATATAATAAGCTCAGTAACATCAAAAATTTAGTTTTTTATTTATTTTATCTTAACAGCTAAAATCTTATTTCTCTGGCATATAATTTACTTACTGTAAATTAAGAACACATAAAGTTACTTTAACTGTTTGGACTTACTTCAGTTCACTTTTGGTAGTATAATAATTAAACTGAAACAATATGAAATTTGAGAAAATCATTCTGTGTTTACGCCAAAAACATGCTATATACTGTAGGTAGCCAGTTATACAGTAGCTACATGTCTAATTTTTTCCTCATTGGATTTGTACATTGTAGCAGATGGATGAACTTTGATCTATGATTACAGATCATGTTGTTTTTCATTCGTCAGTTCAGCTGGTTTTAGGTCACGGATGCTACGTCACATTGCTTGTTAACTGAAAATAGTCACATGACCTGTCAGTACAGAAGGATTTGAGATGTCTGCCCCAATTTATGTTTGGTCCAACGGGAAGGTCAGTGACAAGTATGTGACTCATTATGTGGTAAGGAGCCCTGGCAACATAGAAATAAGACACTTACATAAGAAGAGTTGGAAAGGAGGGGTTGACTGAAGCAACTTGTGTTGAGAGCAAACTATACTAAGTAAGAAAGGATGGAGGCTATATAAAGCTGGTCTTGTTTTTTGTTTCGTTTTTTTGTTTTTTTTCCCCATAGTTGCAATAGGAAGATTGTTATGAAAAACAATAAATCATATCTTACATTTATGAGCAAGAAGGTGATCGAATGACTCAGACCATCGAACCACTTCATCTGTTGATAGTCTGAAGGAGAAAATGCAACATAGAACAGACTTATTAGCATGGTAACAAACCCCCACGGTTTACCCTGCATTTAATTCAATACCTCTTGACATTTGAAGAGGAGTTCTTAGTGTGATTCATCTTCTGCTCAAGAGACATCCTATTTTTATATATGCTGAAATGCTAACATTACTAATATTGAGTTAGAAGTAGGTCAATTGTGAACTTTCTTTACTCTAATACAAATGAAATTCAGTGCAAGCAATTGTATTTAAGTAATCTCAATTATAGACAGAGTTGACTTATGTGCGTCTTAGTCTCAGAGAGCTTGGGTAAATTTATCATCTAAAGAATATGGCACAACTCGAAACCTACAAAGACAGCAGGGAGTGCAAAGAGAGCATTTATCACAGAGGATCTTTAAAGATTTAAAACTCAGATGGAAAACTCATTGCCACAGCTACAATTGATTTGGATTAATGCATATTTATGTCATTGTGTGTATGGATAGGTCGATTAGAAAAAAAAAAAAAAAAAATACATCTGGGTGATATATAAGTGGCTGGATCAATAAATGATCTTCACTTAAGAATTAATATTCTGTCAGAACAAACATTCAGCTAGTTAATGCCTGTTTCAAAAATACATTCTAAAGTGCAAGATAGATGAGTAAAAAGATGAAAGGGAAAAGATAAAATTGGATGGATACCGAAGAGTAGCTGGTGAGCAAACAGAAAATGAATGGGTTTTTTTTATTTAGAAATGTATGGAGGATTTTTCCTTCCAAGAGCACACATTTTCAATTTGAGAGCCGTATTTTGTTCTACTTGCACTCAAAACTTGTAATGCTAGCACTTTTGCTTCCTCTTAAATATATTCTCTTCTCCCTCTAATCTTTGTTTCTACACTCAGATCTAATGTTTGTTGCACAAATATTTTCTCCTCTGAATTTACTTTCTTCTCCTTGAGCATAAACCAGTCTCTGCTCGAATCAGAGATACACAGGCAAACCTGTTGGCTCCGCTTGTGGATTTTTTTGCCCTCTCTAAGACCAGAGTTGGATCATCACCTAGCAACCATTACAGCCAATAGAATGACAGTCTCAGAGAAGGTGTGCTCGTTGTCTTCCAATGAATTTGTCTCAGATGCATGCTCCAGCTCAGGCTGTGAAACTATCTTAGGCTGTCGTCCTGAAACAACCACTCTACAAAACACTTTAAGTTAAGAAAAACATTGACAGGTGGTGTGACATTATTAACAAGTTCAAGAGACTCTTGCCACCTGGCTTCCTATACTGTCTCACTTCACACTCAACCTACAATATGTGGTCAAATTGGACCTGGGAGCCGTACTCCAGTGTTCTGATAATGGATCTAAGGTTGTCAAAGTACTGCACCTTAAATGTCAAAGGATGTGTTTAGTGTTGAGATAATATAAACCCAGTAAAGAGTATAAGCTGGAAAAAAATTGTAGGATTGTATTTTTATGTTTTTTTTTACAAAAAATTACCACCCAACATGAGATAGAAGCTCCTCTATGACAATACTGTAATTTTCTTGTATTTAAGGGTCAACAGCTCTTCTATTATTTGCCTGTAAAGTCAATTTAAAAACACTTGTTTACACACTAAGTAGTAGACTTACTTCAGACATCTGGCAGTGGTCTCATGAGCAGGAGGCAAGAACTCAGAGAAGTCAGTGTAGGAGTCAGATTTTTTGGACAGACAGCCTAGCCTGGTCTTCATGCTGAAAAACCTGGTAAAAAAAAATAGAAATAGATAAATATACACAATGTACTGCTCTAAGGTTTCTTTCCTTTGTTTTTGTTTTTTTTTTTGGACAAAAAGTCCAGCTTCCTGATGACAAAGTAGAAATACTTTTAATGCAAATGCCTGGTTCCAATTCACAAAGCAAAAGACAAACATATCAAATGGGGAAGTAAACACATACATAAGTAAAGCTACTTTATTTTGCAATTAATCCTGTTTGGATTTTTCTACACAGCTGATCATTGGATCTTCAGGCATTTGGAAATTGTACCAATGAATGAACCACACTTCTGGGGGTCTAAAGATGTTTAGTAGGAAATGTGTCCCTAACTGACTTAAAGCATGTTCTTCTATACGGATTCAATGCAGGACTAAGAAAAAAGATACCAATAGTGTTTTTATTTTAGTCATTACATGTAGACAGCTGTTTTTTTTTTTAAGACATCTAATTTAGTAAAATCAATTTTATGTAAAAAAGACCTTGCAGTGGGAATCATCAGTCTATGGTAGCTGAATGAAAAAAGGAATTACAAACAAAATATGAAAAAAAAAATGATGTCACTCCCAAAAGAGGTTCGAGTGCACTGAAATAGACCATACCCCCCAACCTCCTTTCACAGTCTGTCTTAACTCATTTGTACACTGCTGTTGTCATATTCTGTTTGTCAATGTTCTGCCTGTGGGACATATGGGTCACAACAGATGGGGCAAGACTATAAAGATACTGTCATCAAACCCCGTAGACTGACTTAAAACTATAGTGTCCTTTATTAGAAAAAGCTTTCTGCATTTTGAACAAGTCAGTTATGATAGTTTTGCATTTCATTCACTAGAAATGAGCTGCTATGTTGATTTTAGCCTAAGTGGACATTAAACCCTCTCTCTTTGTGTTTAAGCTGCTAATCAAGGGTGTAAATTTCATTTACATAGACAAATGAAAAAAAAAAAAGAAGATTCAGGACATTTTCTTTAAATATTTGTCCTTTTTGATTAAACTGCACTTCACATCTTTCATGGACAGTACTCTGTAGCAAATGGGATTTGTCTTGTTTTTTAAAGATGGGTACTCGGAGAGACAGGAAGGATGTGCAAATTAACACTTTGGTACATTCAGTGAACAAAAAAGGAACATAAGTGCAGGCTTAAAAACATAGATATTGACATCTTGGGAAAGCAGCGCTGTATCAACAATGAGTTGTCAAAAATGAGTCCCTTTACATATCCAAAACAGAGAACTGCCTCAATTATATATTGTTTTGGAGTTTAAAAATGCTTTATTTTTAAACCTACTGCCAGTGCTTTAAAATGTAATTTCATTTTATTTAACTGGATTTTCCAAAGTTAAAAAAGGAAGACAGTTTTGTTTGATCATTAGCACTC